AACGAAGGTGAGCACCATGCTGGTGGTTGACTGCGCAGCGGGGGCAATGATAAACCGGTGAGCTGCGCCGCGCTCGGCTGTAGCAATTACTCGGTATCGCGACGATCGTTTCGTCGGCATGTCCCGTAGACAGAGTAGCCGTCAAATTAAAGGAAGTACGAGCGGCACGAGATGGTTCCGGCCGCGGATTACCGAGTTTGCGGGACGCATTTCAGAGCGGCGAGTGACAGCACTTTTTTCTTGTTGTTTACCATCGCGCACGCCTTTGTATCGGCTTCTGCCCGTTCGTGATGTAGATGGCCTTTGCCTTTCGTTACATCACGCCGTTTCCACGCTTTGAGCACAGCTTCGGAACTTCCGACCGAGTACGGGCGGCGTCGTGCCGGGAGCCTGGCCAGACGGCGATCGGTCCGTGTGCATGCTCGCCGAGACACCGTCGCTTGGGCATCGGTTTGTGCCGTCCACGACACGGTGACCTTTGCAAGCAGTGGAAGTGTCAGGCGAGCCGGTTAGGAACATCGTAATATGGGAGAGTGAGAGTTGTCTTGTCCGTTACTTTATTTATTCTTGCATCAGGATTTAGTTTATGATGGTAACGTTGCGATGGTTACCAGTACTTCGCAAAATCGTAGCAGTTTTTCTACAAGCGACTCTTAGAGCCGCTCGTCACATTTTGCGGCGCAATTAAATTTTTCTTTTTTTTTTCTTTTTTTTTTTGCGACACGGCAGCCCTTTGTGTTAAAACTTAGTCAGCGGCATATAGAAACTTTCTGCTCGTACCTCAATCACACCAATGCCGAAAAATTCCGCACGTACTGGCTAAACGTCATCATCGTAAGCTCGACTCGTTTTTTAAGGTTCACATCTAACAAAACTAGGCACCATTGATGAAAATATGGTGCATGTCAGCGCACGTCCGGCCAGTTAGCGGCATCCTACGCCTTTGTAAGCGCATCCGCGTGGTGCAAACTTCACTCCCAGCGTGGCGCCGCGCCCCGTGGTTCTCTAGCGTGACGTCACGTTTATGGCGTGTTGCTTCGGAAAAGAAAGAGCCTTTTCCCGCACAAAAGTAAAATGGGGGTAGGACTTTGGAGCACTTTCTTGTCCCAGTCAATCAACAATCTGCGTGTGGTTGCAATATAGCAGATGTGTGACTTTACCGTGAATTCCTATCGCCAGTTCGGGAATCCGATTCCACACAAAAGCTTTACCGCTCACAGGTATGTGGCGATTGCCGACTGTAGCTCGCTGCAGAGCCGTCGAGCGCACGCTTCAACACACCGTCGAATATTGCAAAACCGGTAGTTTTGTTTGGCCCCCTTTTTGTTTTCGTGTTCTTCTTTTCAGAACGACGCAGAATAGTTGGCTCTTTATTTACAGTGTAGCAACTCTCGCCGGCCTCCAGGTTGCGTCTAAGACGAAATCTGCCCAGCTACCCGTACACGCGCTAGGGTTACAAAAATGCGCTTGAATCTCGTGCTGGGATATCTCTATCAATCGTCTGGCCTCTAATGTAACAAAGTAAGCCAATCTCCACGTTACAGATCTAGGTTGCTCAGGACGCTAGCTGTCATCTTAGATTTGTTTCGCGATGTACCGTCGAATGTAATCGCCTCTTCTTTTAGGCGGGGGTCGCATTGTTTGAAGTTGCAAAAATGTCCTTTGTAAGGGAAAGAAAAACAAAAAATTAATTTTTTTCATTTTTTTTGGATAACCTGGCACCTTCCGGCTACTGATCTCGACAGTGTTTATCTTCGGACATAGGCGGCCCCTAGATTACTTGATGCGGTCTGGGTTGTTTGGGCTGTAGTTAGGGGTTCGCTTTCTTGTGTGGTGCATCTAAATCCTGGTGATTTAGCTGGTCAGCTTGTTTTTACTTGATTTTACTGTGAGCTGGTAAGCTTATTTTTACTTGATTACGAACAAATGGGAATCGCTTGCCTTTGTCAGTTTCCATGCACGATTCTTCCTTTCAGTCCCGAAATATGTGTAACAGTTTGTGCCTCCATAACAACAACGGAGAAGCGGCAAGCTGTGAAAGCATGATAGTGATTAATATTAATGTACCTACTTCGTGAGTGCAGAAATTGCCTCTTCACTGTTTGTTTTTATACGATTTGCCAACTCCGTCAAAAAAGACTACCCTGGGCTTGTCTGTACAGAGAAATGATTACAAAAGTCCACGAATTGCTGCATTCTTTACATGTGCCATTGTCTAGCAGTTATGTGTATCAACGCTTGTAGCTATAGCCGTGCGTGTTTGAAATGATAAAAGAAAAAGCAGCGCAGAACCCAGGCATTGTCTAATACCTGCTCTGAGGTTCTTTGTGCGTTTTCCATAATTCGCTGCTAGCAGCATGTCGGCGAACCTGATCCAACGAAGAAACGATGCACTATTCGTGTTTACCCCTTGTTTCCGAGAGGCCCGAACGTCACCAACACACTCAAAAACGTTTCCTCCTCTCCCTCGCAGTCACAAGATGGCGGCTCTCTCAGAACCCGAGCGGTGCCTGGAGATCGAGCGGGAGCATAACCGCATCCTGCTCTCGCCCAGCAGCCAGTATTCATCGACTAAGCTCTCCTACGCCGAAGTCGGCCTCAGCGCTCCGTTTACTTTCATGGCGCTAGGCATGAGCTCCGCTGCGGAGTCGGACCACGTGCCTCGTCCGCCGTGGCAACAGCAGAAGCCGCCGGCACGCCGAGAACGCGATCGGAACCCGCCACCCACGCGGAGGGACCGAAGGGAGAACCAAGGCGGGAGGGGACCGGAGGGCCCGCTGCTCCCGACCCCAAGTTCCGCGGGACCGCAAGCGGATTTCCCGGCATTCTCGTCGCCCACGGTGCCGAGGCCAGACCGGAAGCCACGGCAGGACCACCGGATTCTCGTGCCGTCTCACCGCGCCCTAAACAACAGCGCCAACGCGGGGAAGGGGATACAGAGGTTCGCAGGGAAAGACGGCGTCCCCATGATGCCGGGGGCGCTGGGTCCCCGCCGGAACCAGGACGTCATGTTCTTGCGAGACATGGAAAGGCGTCTTCTGGAGAAGCCCGAAGCCATGCAGGGCTTGCCAGCATCATTCCTTGGTAAGACGACGAGGGCAACGCTTCCGGTGTGAAACTGTGTGTGAAGTAAGGCCAGCACTAGAGGCCGCTTTGTGCACTTGCGACTGCTTGTGACCGGAGAGCCTAAAGCGCCGTTCACACATTTACAGCCGAGTAGGACCGAGAGAGGCCATACCGGTTTTTAAGCCTCTTCCGACTTAGGACTAGCTCTGCTGCTTTCATCCGGTCCTAAGGCGTCGCAAGAGGCTTAAAAACCGGTCATGTCGTTCTCGGTCGTACTTGGTTGCAACTATGTGACCCAGCCTTAAAAACCGGTTTTAAGCCTCTTGTGACTGCCTATGACCCACTCCGCTGCTGCGCTTCCAGTCGTGCGAAAAGTCACGACCGGTTTAAATGCCGGTATTCGGTTTCGCTGATTGCAAGCAGTCGCAATGTGTGAATTCGCTTCCTACGAGGCTAATAATGTTGCTTAATGGGCCTTTTCGGGCACACCATTACGGCGTAAACTTTTCCTCTGTCCAATGCATGCTTTTTTCAGGAGTGATTTGGCCTGCGTTTCCGCAAAAACATTTTGTCTTCCAAGATATTTAATACTTCCACTGTGTTGTTCATGACATCAATCACGGCGCTTGTTCCTGACCTGATTGTCCGGAGTTCCATTATTCTAATCTGAATGATCCTGGGAAGATCACTAACTTACTATGTTCTGAAATCTTCATATCTTGTAAGGTTTTGTTCACTGTGCTCTTTAGGGGGTATTCACTGGATGGTATATTTGAAGGCGTTGTTTAGAGTGCATGCTCAGAACGAGCTCGCATGAATGGCATGCTAAGACCGGCAATTTTAATTGTCCGGAAGTTCGCCGTCAGCAGGCGCTCGGCAGCTACGCGCACAGATATGGCCGTCAGGGAATACTTCCTATTGGGTTATAAGTCTTTGCTATTGAAAGTGTCTCACAAATATCTTTCTCTGGCTCCTGATTAAGGCAGCGGAAATCTCAAGAACCCGGCCCGCCTTGCTGAGGAATCAACTGCGAAAATTTCCCTGAACATTTTCAAAGGCCAAAGTGTGCTACCCTTAAAGAGGGTAAGTATCTTTCTCCCACTTCTTCTACCTTTCGCTAGACGGAAGTACCGTCATACAAAGAGGATTCAGGTTTTTATGTCACTCGAAATGTTTACAGTCGTCTTTTCTTTTTTATAGTGTATTTTGACTGAACACCACTTCAGAAAGGTTGTGCTCCTTGACGCTGAAGTAGTTCGATGGAATGTCTTCTCATTGATGTCAAAATGATTGTTGATAACCCCAAAGAAAAAAAGTGGTACAAATAAATGTACGAGAACCCGTTTAAAGTGTTGAAGGCCCGGAAGCAGGCACTCACGTAGGCAGAGATACCACTCACTGGTACTTAGCATTATTGCCCGAAGGCGTGTAGCAAACTAGCTTTGCCGGACTCTCGAACCAGTAATATTTGAAAATCGCGCAAGTCTAATCGCGCTGACCAAGCCTGTGGAGCTCAGAGAGCGTTGAAAGCCACGTTCAATCAATTTCCCATCTAAATTTTGCGGAAAAAAGTGACGTAACGTGACGGAACGTCACGTGACTTGGGGTCAGATGACGTGGTAATGCGACGTTAATTTTAAAATTCGCTGGGAGATTAAGAGATCAGTGACATTCGTTTTCTTGTCATATTTAGCATTAAAAATGACATCACGTGAAGTGGTCACACGATTTCAAGTATGCCGCTAACGGAGAAATTTATTTGGAGAATTTGGCGTGACGTGGCTTAAATTCTGAGGAAGTGGTCAATGGACGTCAAATTTCAAGTTAAAATTAGCGAGAAAATTTATGTCACGTGACAATAATTTTCCCGCTAAATGTAACGGGGCAATGGACATGGCGGTTTTGCGAAAGCATATCCTGTGTTAGAACGGCAAATGACATCTCGCGGTCATCCTGTGCAGAGTTCCAAGCGGTTTCCGAGGGCCATTTTCTACTGCCACTTGTGCCACCGGTACTTCGACGACAACTGGTACGTCAAGAAACACCTGGAGCAAGAGCAGCACCAACTTAGGCTATTGGTAAGCGCTTAAAATTTTCACGTTTTTGAGCATCACAAAGTGTGTCGCTCGTCGTGGCAACGCTTGCGCAAACGGTTGATAGCCTGTCGGTGCACTTTACACACTGGTACGCCAGCAATAGGTGGGCGGGGGGGGGGGGGGGGGGTTAGTTCCAGTTTTTGCAAACCGGCGTAAAGACTGAAGCATAACACTGCAAACAGCAAGGGCTTACATTGCTGGTCCCGAAAGCAAGAAAGAAGAGCGAGTAAAAAGAAAGCCAACGAAAGGCTCGGTGTGTTCTTTTTGCCGCGACGTGCTGATTGAGGTTGTTCAAGCGCTTGTCAAATTTAGTTCTATTTGTAAAGGGTGTCTCTTCGAAGAAATATCATATGTAATGTTTTGTTTTCACCGCAAAAATAAACTGCATTACCAAACGCTCATTTTTTTCTCAAAATGTATCGCTACTGGATCGAGCCATATGGCGAAATATCGGAAAAGACGCTGTTTCATTCAGAAGTTACAAATGATTTTCTGAAGATTTTGATTGCCACCATTTTGCAGGTGAGCGATATGCGGATGAACGTCAAGAACATCCCTCACCCGGTAAAACTCCAGGTCAAGGCAATCGACACTCTGCTCAAAACTGTGAGCAGATACGGGCTGACGACGGAGGAGGTTGAGCTGAGAAAAGCATTTGCCGAGAAGCTGGAGGCCTCCCTTCGTAATACCCTTCCCGGTGAGAACCGTAACTACGGTGCACGAAGCACTTTCCTGGCCACTTCCACAGGGTGTCGATCACCCGAGATCGATAAGTGCGAAAACCCATTTCAAAACTCCTGTGGAGCTATCACTCTCCCTGCAATATATCGTGAGTAGTTTGAAGAGCGCAGTTTTAGTTTCTGCGTTTCTCTTTGTGCGGGGCAGCAATTTTTAATGCCCACGGCACGTCACCGATTGTGACTGCCGCAACCACCTCCACAGACTGGCACGCGCCCGCAAGTACCTCACTTCTTGCCGTGCTTGCGAATCATTTGTCGCTTCATCAGATTGGGATAGCAGCTGTGGTCTGGCTATGAATAGCACATCAGTGATCAAGGTTGACTTGGTTTTGGGTTGATCAAGATTGTTTTTCTGGTAAGATTACAGGTTCTGTTGAGTTATTTTGTTGTGAAGATGAGAAACGTTTCAAATGTTTTTGCGCTTTTTTTCGTTTCGAGGTATCGCCATACCTTCACTTTGTTGGCAACCAATGTTTCTTCAAAAACTACTGCATTGCGAATTAACGTCTACATTGACATTTGCATAATCGAAATTTTCTTTATTAAGCTTTATTTTTACGTGTGACATCATCACGGTAACCAAGTAGTTTCCTCCAAGGATAAACTCAGCAATAAGCCACACTAAACTCACATTTTCTCCATAGTAAGGAGAGTATTAACAAGCAGCTGTTAGGTCAACCGGTTTCTTGACGTTTGGCTCTTTATTGTAGAAGAAGTTTGAGCCCTAGAGTGGATGGGTGTTCGATTGATGTTGTAAACACGCCCGCGAGAGAGGACGTTGTGATCGTGTAGGCGCCGACAGTCTCACCCTGGGTGCTAGAATGGAGTGCATTCGACGTTAAAATCACGCTGTACGTGAACATGAAGTGTCACACGGAAGAGAATGTCGCCGGAGGTTCCAGTCAATCACAAAGCAGTATCATTTAAATGTCGCACGAGCTCACGCTGTCTATTCGCAACGTGTCGCGCGGCGATCCGCGCAATGTGTTTTCGACTGACCCTCCGTGTTCATTATACAGACATCAAGCTGACCCCCCACGGACCCTCGGTGAACGGTTTCGGCCTGTTCAATAGCGAAGTGGACCTGGACCTGTCCTCGACCGGCAGAACTGAGGTGGCCGAGCTCCTCGGGGAGCTTTCGGACAAGATCACCCAAGATGAGGGTGAGTTGCGTTCTGCTCTCTGCACCCCTTTCTTTCCAACACGGAATACGTTCCAGGGCTGCTGTCGCCATGAAAAGCCGGACGAAACGTCGCGAAAACCGTTATAAAATGCGCAACGTATACATCAGAGGACATTCTGCACAGAAGAGCGGTAAATTGTGAAACGTGCCCCAATGAGAATCGAACCCACCACCCCACGTCTGTGAGATCGACATCCTACTGCCGGCCGCGCAATGGGTGGTTAGACGAAAAGCTGGCTGGCTCTGTATCTATCACGGTGGTCTCTGTTAACCGTTCGAATAACAAACACCGGTGTTTCCATTTGGCGTTCGCGCTTGAACAGTGCATGGGAAGAAACGAAAAATGAAAAATGTGCCCATCGTCACATAAACAACTACCGAGCTCGGAATAAAATCACGTGGTATACAGGGTGTGCGCGCCTCCTGGCCGCCATGACAGAGGGAGAGAAATACTTGCGGTTCTCCCGTGTATTGCGTTGTGTTTGGGAGGGCGAGCGGCGACTATTGATTGGTTCACTAGCGAGCAGTTCCGTCATGCTTTTATGCTACCAATGCGTACCGGCACAATCAAATATCACGAATGAAGTTATTTCGATTATCCCAAGACGAGGCATTTGCCAAGCCGGGGTGATCGCAGGATGATGGTATTGGCGGACGATGCTAGCTACTTCGATGTGCTGCCGACAGATGGCTTTAAGCGAGAATGCGATGGCTCGACTGATCATCTTAGTGCAACGATGGGCCATTACAGAGCGTACAAATGCAATGTGCATGATGCTCTGGGAAAGAAGCCTGAATATCGAAGCAAGCGAGTCAAAATTCAAATTGCTTTTGTGCATTATTATGTCTCGTGTCGCATTGAAGCAAGCGAACTAAAAACGTTTGGTTGTTTGCAAAAATTCGGCTAAAACTAAGACTTGCCTCGGTCACTCCTGCGGGAAGGCTTGGCGCATATCTCCGGTGGTTGGAGGAGGTGGTTGCCCATCGCCTATGAGTCGAAGTACGAAGCATCGTGATTCCACGATGCTAAGTGCGATCACGAAGTAGTTTGAACGCATTTAGAGATTTTGGAGGTATTAAGCTAATTTCAGGTGGACAAGGCGAGTCGAATAGGTATCGCTGAAGATTCACCCATAATACCTCCGGCAGATCTGTCATTTTTTTTAGGAACACGCACTCTTCCCTTCTTCCGAGGGATTGGGAAGGCGCGTCGGTCTCGTGCAAGCAAATTTCGCGAGTTACCGCAGTTATTCCTCGGTGGTGATACAAAACAATAGTCCCTAGACGCTCGGTTTTTAATTTTTTTTTCTTACCTCTGCACAGCCCGTCTAACCACAGAAAAATTGAAACGGCACATTATGTGCATACCAAATTTATCTGTCGACGAGAAATTAATCTTGTGGTAAAGGACACCAGCAGTCGCAGACGCATTCTAGTCACTGCACCAAAACAGGTAGTATCCATGGGTGTGCTTCTGAACCACATGTCTTTTTGTATTTCCACATCCAGACAACTTCTCGTCCCCGGAAGGGAATTTCCTGGCGGAAGCACCCAGACTTCGCTTCGTGGACGGTCCGACAAATCTCACGTGCGAGATCAGCCTGAACAACCACAACTCCATCAAGACATCGAAGCTGTTGGCGGACTACGCCTCTCTAGATCCAAGGGTGCAGTCGCTCGGCGTCATTTTCCGCTACTGGGGACAGGTAAGTGGACGTCCAGTCCAAACCTTTAGCCCTTGGACAGCCGTCCTCGCGAATTCCAAGCTCGCAGGACGTGTTACAGGCACAGACTGAAGCTTAGGCTTCGGTCTTGATACATAGTACCTTCTAGCACTACAAGTCAAGAATCAGGAGTGCCGGTTTTTCTGCGTCCTTTGCAAGGGTAGTGGTGACGTCAGAACGCCGAGCTCTCATTGGATCTGGTAGAAAAATAGTAGGTATACCTCAAGGCAGCCACTATCTTCCTAGTCCCGCCACCAGCTCGCGCTTCCTGCCCCTTTGACACCGCTTCGGTGTCGTCTGCAGCTCAAGCTCTAACGAAAGCATGGTAGAAGCCAAAACATGCCGAAAGGCAGTGAGTGTGTGCTGGAGGATGGGCATTCTAAAGACGCGCCTTGTTGTCCTCCCACTGTCCGTGAATGTGCGGGTAGAAACTAGTAGAAATGCCGGAGCACCGAGCTCCGACCGGAATGATAGTTGGGCAGTCGTAAAGCTAGCTGCCTTTGTCTCTACTCGCTGCGTTAACGCGTAGGAACGGAAACGCCAGACGCCGGTGTTCGAACGTATTCTAACAGTGAGCAGGGACAGCTAGCCTTGTGTCTGCCCTCCCTCCTCCCCGATCATTCCAACCGGGGCTTTGTATTCTGATGTCCTAGCCCTCCCTCGTTTCCTTCACATTCTTTCTGTTTTTTTACGCCTCTAGTCGGCCGTGTGTCCTCCGTGCTACTACGAACGACGTCGTTGCCGACGTCTCCTTCCGTCGAGGGAGAACCTACAAATTCCGTCCTGCGGTTTTCCAGGTGTGCCGGCTGGAAAGGAAGGAGAGAGCCCCGCTTCCACTCCACGCGTATCCAATCATGGTCGTCTACTTTCTGCAGCAGTGCAAGCCTCCGGTCGTTCCCGTCCTGCACGAGGTGAGGGGTGCCCTGTAGCATACATGGGTAAATTACTCTCAAAATGTAATTTAATTACAATTACAATTACTTAGCTCCAAAAGTAGTTTAACTACAATTACAATTACTACTACGCAAAAGTAGTTCATTGCAATTACAAATTACTTCTTAAAAGTAATGCAATTACTTTACAATTACTTATTTCTGAGAGTTACCCCCCCCCCTTGGGCCATATAACTGTAAACGAGTTATATGGCCGCTGTATAAATGTCACGCATTGTACTTTCCTTTTATGAAATTTGTTAAATGGATTATAGAACTTAATAGTTTGGAGTAATGAACTCCTGCGTTCATATATTCTCAAAACATAAAAAATGGCGACAAAATTCACAGGTGCGAGGTGAATCTCCTTAGAGGTTATGCAAATGGTATCCAAGTCAAACCAAGAAAAAATAAACTTAAAAATAATACAAGGAAACAAATATGCGAATGTACTGGTATCATAAAACTCACGTAAAAATGGCTAATAAGAGAAACTTGTAAACGACGTCAAACATTTAAAGGATACGACAACTTACGAAAACATTTCAGCCACGATGATTCGCTGCCTCTCCCTGTCTGTGGACTTGTAACATGCCGGATGTGGGTAACCGTAGCACACGAACTCTGGTCGCTTCCACAAAACTAGTGTCACAATAGCAGCAACTCTATTGCCAGGGATTCTGGGTTAATTCAGTGCACGGTAACACCCAAAAAGCTCCTGAGATAAATAATAAATTTAGGATCGTCATGTAGCTAATCATTAGGATAGCAATGATTGTATCGATGCTATGCGTCTCATAAAGAAGACCGATTTGAATTTAGCATGGCAAGAACAACCTCGAAAAATTCATGATACACTGCAAACGACTTTATTTTCGCGAATTTCGCGAATCGCCTACAATTCGCGAAAAAAAAATGTAAACACATTGGAATCTATATCGCGACCCCACCGCGTCGCGAAAATTAAAATCCGCGAATTATTCCAAAACTGCGGCCTCTTGGACGCCTCGATTTCACGATTTACTTGAGCGCGTTTCAGCTGGAAGATATAGACGAGCTATTATTAATATTTTTTTTATAACTGTAAGTATTATTCAAAGTAACAAGAAAGTTGCCTACCTGCAAGTGTTTCCGCAAATTGGAGGTCGCCTTTCGGTTTATTGAATTTGTTTTCAGAAACGGCCCGGAGAGTTTGCTCCTCACGATTATAGTTTTTTACATTGGTGCTAATCTGTTTAGAGAATTTTTTGCAACAAGGCCCCGGCAGCCTTTCCTTTTCCATTGTAGATAAGACTGTTGCAGCTTCTCAATGCAAAGCAGCACTGCGCGCCTCGGAGCGGTTCCACAGGCCAAGACGAGAGGACAACGCGTGGAGGGTCACGATAGAGGTGTAAAAACAATGTGCAAGCCAAGCCCTCTATAAAAAAAGAAGCCTTCAACGAACAACAAATGCAAAAACAAGCTCCCTACAGCTAAAGCCGCGGTTTGTAAGTTTTGGAATCTCGTCCATTCAGGCTGACAAACGGTTGAAATGGTTAGGTAGAGCGAACACTAAATAATGAAGATTTATACAAAAAGGTAGACGAGGATTGGGAGAAGGAAGAGCAGTGTAGCAAGAACAGTTGGAAGTAAGGCAGGGTGAGTCGTGTTAATGAGACTTGCTGCTTCTTTGCTTCTTCGCCTCGATGTTAGAGTAGCACGACTTACTGTTAGTGGTATCAGCGTACGAGATAGAGGAGAAGGACGTGAAAAACTCATAAAGAAAAGGGAATAATTTCATGAACAAAGAAGTTCCAAACTTGACTGAAATATGTAAGCGAATATGCAAGCGGCGAAGACGCGTAAGGAGAACCTCGAACCTCCCCGCCTCGACCGGATGATGTGATCGGAGCCAACCAGCTCGACTTCGACCTCCGATGCCCCCGTGTGGGAATGAGAAATAAGAAAGACCCCCAGAAGCGGGAGCAACAGGAAGCAAACGAGACGAAGAGTCAGATTCAAATACGACGTTTCTGTAAGTTCAGCTGGTTTTCACAATCTAAGTATGTGCAACCAACTAGCTCAGCTCCTTCCCATTGCAAGTTATCTTTCTAGTTACCTGAGCACGTCTTTTGTTAATCTTAACCTCCTCGAGCCGCAAGCCCTAAGCCTTTTCATTGCCACCTCTATCTGCCAAGCACGACTACTCACTCGGAGCATACAAAAGAAGATTGTCCTGGATGAAGTGCAAACCTTCTTTGGTGCGGTTAAACCATCCCAAGGACATGCCCAACGAGTGTCCAAGATCCTTATATCCGAAAAATGGCGCCAAGTCCGGCTCCTCACCGATTTTCTGCGAGTCAAATGTTCTACCCAAAATTGCTTTTCCAATCACCTCGCCTTGACAAGGCATGCAACGGAGAACCTATGGGTTCAAAGTTTCCTCCCCATATGGCGTCACCATCTAGAAGCACATCGACAAGCCAAAGGAAACGTTAGGAAAACTCCACCCCAGGTGATCGGGAACATACAAATTTCAACAAAAGCCAGACAGGTGCTGGAACAAGGACCCAAGTTCGCCATCGCCCCCAAGCTCGAGGCAGTAGACAACGTAGCTCTCCTAAGGCAAATAGCCGCCAAAGCTCCCCAAGGAAAAGGCCCTCAGATCATTGATGAGGGCATTCAAGCCTTTGAAAACCTCATACACCAGACCAACGGAAAGATCAGCTTCAAATCCACCATTCACGAATTGCGAAGCAAAGATCTTAAGTTATGCGCCTCAGACAAAGAGGGAGGTTTTGTTGTTCTTGGTTCAGATGCATATGGAGAAAAGGCTCATCAAGCTGTCACCAAGAATTTTATAAATGTTGACGAACAACGAACCAAAGCAGCAAAAAAGCACATCTTAGACCTCCTTGAAAAAAATCAACAAACCAGCCTTTGCACCAAGATCAAAGCCGCAAAAAATGACAAACTTATGATGTTTTTCTCCGCCAAGACACACAAAGAAGGGGTACCTTTCCGGGCCATAGTGTCGGAAAAAACAACGTGGCAAGCATGTGTTTCAAGGTATTTGGCCCAACATCTTTCCACAATACACCCTGCGGACCCATTCCACATACCAAACTCTGAGCGAGTGATATCATATCTAAAGGAACAAGGAAACAACATCGTCTCGGGGTTTTCCTTGGACGTACAGGACATGTATTACTCCATCCCTCAAGCAAGGCTTCTACAGGTCCTCCGAAGTTCCATCGAAAACCAAGGGCTCGCGCAGTTCCAAAATGCAGCAGGTGTTAGCCTAGACACCTTCTTGGAGGTTTTAAGATATTATTTGTCCGCAACGGTAGTAACCCATCAAAATCGGCCGTATGTCCAGAAGAGTGGTGTGTGCATTGGTTCAAAAGTGGCCCCATACCTGTGCGACATCTTTCTCGCCGCATCTGGGGTAGCCATACAGCAAGTTTTAAAAGACCCACGAGTTGCCGCTATTTTCAGGTATGTTGACGATTTCCTTATTTTATGCACAGCTGGAGTTGATGAATCACTAGACGGATGCCTCCACACCACCCTCAGGCATTTCCAGACAAGCTGCATGGGGCTCACATTCACCTACGAGCCCCCTGTTGATAATTCCATACGGTTTCTTGATTTGGCCTTAAACTTCCAAACAGAACATTTGTGTTGGAGATATGAAGTGCGATCGGGGAAAGGGTTCCTTCCCTTTGAATCCGAACATTCCAAAATTGTAAAACAAGGGGTCGCTACTGCAGCTCTTTCAGCCAGCCTCAGGAAGACCTGCCCCCATCAGATGGTAAAAAGTTTTGAAACCCAAATATCCAGGCTTCAAGAGGCCGGATATCCGAAACCCTTCCTGGACTCCATTTGTGAAAAGATTTGCCGCAACATAAAAAGAACTTGTCAACGCACTGACCTTGATCCACCGAAGCAGATCTCCCGTTCACCTTTTGCGGTGGTCCCATACATACATGGGGTAACTCACAGGTTAAAAAAGATCGCAAGCAGACACGGCATAAATATCATATGCTCGGCACCCAACAAGGCACACGCAATGTGCAGGAAGGTCAACCTAGCCCAGGTTAACAATACAGGCAGGTGTACCACCAAACACAAGACAGAATACGTTCCATGCGACAAAGGAGTAGTTTACAACATACCATTGTCATGTGGACGTAGCTACATCGGGCAAACGGGACGTTGTATAAATGACCGCACGCGAGAACATGCCGCAAACTTAAGAAACCTGGCTGCACCTGGACATCTAGCAGCTCATTGTAGAGAATGCATGTGTGAGGCTAAGCTTGAAACGGTAACCATCCTAGCTCACCACAAAGATCGGTTCGCCCGAGAACTACTTGAGGCCTTAGCCATAGATCAACAAAAAGACAACTGCGTTAGTTCACCATTCATTGCCCTACAAACAAGTGGAAAGAAGTTCCTGCGAGACGAAAATGCCCATGAAGATAGAGGAAGATCAAGAAAAAGGAAAAAGAAGAATACGTAAAAAGGACAGCCACCAGACCAGTAGAAGAAGAAGCCGAGGGTTAATAAATAGTTGGTAGTCCAGCGATCGGATGCTTTTTCCTCCTTTCTCTCCTCCCCCCCCCCCCCCTTTTCTGTAAGTTCAGCTGGTTTTCACAATCTAAGAACGCGAATGTAGCCCTCATTTATCAAATTATTTCTCAAATTCTTTATTAAATCGTTTTACAGTCTACAAAATCCTTCATTCCGTTCTATCCCAGCCTCTCTTTCCCATCCCTCTTTTCCATTTTTTTCAGCAGGTTGGGAGACACTCTCTACCCTGTCGCTTTGGCTGTGCTGTCGTCTCCGTGGCCAGGGGGGAAAAGCGCCGCCGCCACAAAATCTTGCAAAAGTAATTGTAATTTTGCCTGAAATTTAGCAATTACTGACGCTAGAAAGTAATTAAATTACAATTACAATTCCTTTTAGCCGAAAGTAATTATTACAATTACAAATTA